AGAAATTTGTCGTTGTGTGATATCACATGTGAACAAATTATGGCTCCCAGATGCAGTTATTTCACTTATTACTCAAAGTTCTTTGTTAAGTCGACTGTAGTAACCAGGTTGACCTGGGAAAGCCGAAATGGCGAAGGCGCGATAGATTACAGCAAGAAAGAACAACTGTGGTAATGGTAAGAAATGTATACGACTTAATGGGCCGAAACACTTCTTACCTAATTTATTAGTTCTTCTTTTTACATCTTCCCTTTTTTACTCTTTTTTGACCTTTTCTATCATTCATTTCTACATTTTCTAACAAAATTTCCACTTAACCTTAAACAGTATGAGAAAAGAAGGTAAGAATGAGATAAGACGTTTCGGTCCAATTAAGTCATATACGTCTTAACTCAAAATCGCGATAGCAGGACCTCGTCAGTATGGCGGTCGCAGTGCTTAATGGAAAAGGAAAGGAAAGAGGAAAACGTTGGGAAGGAACAGAAGGAGAAACTATATGATTGTGGGATTAAAAGGAGTAAGAATAGGCAGATAGGGCAGGGGAAAAGAAGAAGGAAGAAAAGGATTTTTTTAAGAGAGAAAGTTTTTTTTTATAAAAATGTTATTTTTTTGAAAAAAAGTTACTTTTTTGAAAAAAGAGGTTTTTTATATATTAAAAGAAATTTGTTATCAAATTTGTTTTGAATAAATTATATTTTATTTGTTATCATCAATGATATCTTCATTATGCACACCTATTCCTGTTTATTTCACTTATTCGTATATTGAGTCATCAATAAAAAGATTTACCATTGTTATCCATGTTGGATAATCAAGATCATAAATTATAGTTGTAATAATGGGCCATTTGTCCATCTTTTCTCGTCTGATGAATAAATATGGTTCTGAGGAATGTGTTCTGTTCGATTTTCAGGTCCCACGTGCTACAGAAAGTATGCCAGTATTTTGCCTATAAAGTACGCTATACGAATAGTGCCACCGAGATACCCGAATTCAATATTGCTCCGGAGGTGGCCCTGGAACTTCTGATGGCTGCCAATTTCCTCGACTGCTAACTCACCCTCCTCCTTATATATATATATTTTTTTTGTAATTTTGTATTTTTCGGGATTTTTCTGAAACTTGACTTGTATTAGTCTCGCTCTTTGTCTCTCTCTTTCGTATGAATATCTTAGCGATTTTGCATTTGTTCAAATAGTAACTGATAGCAAATCCACGTCTCCCGAGACTTCTGCGCCGTTCACTTTGATCGTTTTCGAGCGCCCCGCTCTGCTTTTTGCAGCTCTTTGAATCTTCAGCATAATCTAGTTTTTATTCATTTTTTAAAATTTATATTTTTCGTAGTATCTTGAAGCGAAATCTCAGCCATCCGCTGGATCATCTTGAGTTTGCAGAAAAAGGAAGGCAAAGAAGTCAATTTTGAGGAAAATTTTTAAAAAAAAAAACTACTTGGAAGGACGCGGACTGGAGATATCGTTCGTTTTTACTAAAAAATGCTCAAATTTCCCCAATTTGGAGGAGGGGGATTTGGAGGGTTCAATATTTGTTCTCCTCTCAGCGTTTTTTTTTAATGTTTTCTATCTTGAAATGCATTGTATTTTTTCCCGCAAGTGCTATTTGTTCTCATTTTTGAAGAGAATTTCTGGAATAGTTACTCCATTGTGGCACTGATTAACTCGTCTTCCGGAGGAAACTAAGAAATTTTATTAAAATAAGGGAAAAGCTTATGCAGTTTTTGTCCGGGTATCTAAAATTTGCATATGCTAAAAATCCTTAAAAAAAGCAGATTTATCCCCGCTCTACACAAACATGACCGATGAATTGTGTCTCTGCTATGCATCTTTCTGTGAATTTGATTTCTTCCTTTTCTATAGCCTGAGAAAATGCTAAATGCAGAAGCCAAACATCTCTCTCTCAAATTGAGGCTTGAAAAATGAAATTAAAAAATTGCAGGAATAAAATATGTAAATTCTGGCTGTACTGAAAAATTCAAAACCCTCATCGTTTTCACCTCTTCTGAGAGGCGCAAGTACTCGGAAGTGACCAGAATGGTGCGAAACTGCGAATATTGTTGGGCTGGTAAGGCTTTTGATGACTCCCTCTTTCAATGGTTGCCCAAAAACAACAATCTGTCGCTGGATTTGACTCTCCGACATGTGTGAGTGGTAATTTATGATGGAATCGTAGTGTAACTTTCTTACCCATTGGTCGCTTACTCGCATCGAACCCCCAACATGCAGCTATTTTAGCAAACTTATCCCACCTTTAGTTTTGACCAGGCATGAGCAACCTTTGGTGACACGCGGCCTGTTTTACATACTTAAGCTCGCGGGCCACCTTTTAATAAAACTCAGGTAGCAACGCACCCGGCTTTGACGCACAGTCATGTGTTTTTGCTCTAAACTTGACGCAGTCAGATCGTTAACAATATGAATAGTTGATGCTTTACAGTTTAACACGTGCAGCTCATGTGCCTGTGTTTTGGTGTTTCGCTGCATGCAGAGGAAAAGGGCGTCAGCTGGGACGGTGGTGTTGCATCATGGCTCTCGCTGTTGCTGAGTTAAAATTAGGTGGCAAAGTTCCCTCGCTTCTGAAAACATACGCACACAAGAATGCTTTCAATGTTATGCGTTTTTGCATCATGCAAATGCGAAGACGTATAAAAAAATATGTTTACCAGGTTTTCCATTCAGTAAAATAATGTGAGCTCTGGGGTTGAACTTTTGAAACATATCACTGACACAGAGTTCCAAAGTGTTTTCTAGATTGTCATTTGTTAGCTTCATGCGTACTTTATTTATTTTCATGGGAGTGCGGAGGCGTGGCGGAGTATAACCCCCCCCCCCATTTAATTAGACATCACATTCTGACCCCCTTCACGAGCCGGGTTAAATCTGGACCCCGCGTAAGAGGGTAAAGTTTTTGGTGGGAAAATTACCAAGTCAGGAACGTGAAAAGCTAGAAAGCTGAAATTTCGAGGTTGTTTTCCCCGTCCACATAGAACTCAAAGACATCAAATTCAGCCTCCAGTCCCGAGCCGGATCGGGCCCACGGACCGCCGGTTGCTTACATGTGGCTTAAACTTCTGACTTTGGGTGCCCCATGTTGTTTTCTTTGGACCATCCACTTGTTTTAAGATTACGATTCGGCCTTCCAACGGCCACAATTTATTATTCCGACTTGGCACCCACGTTGCTGTAGTACAGTGTCTTTTCGATCAACATGATAATGTATACCATCGTAAGTCCGACACGTGTATTCTCGGCACGAAACTGCTGTCACACTTCCAACTGCTATATGAGCAAGATCAAGAGAATTACGGTGATAGGAGAGTAATTATGAGCTAAGTTTGAATCACCTATCTTCATATTGTATTTTTGCATATATGCAAGTGCAAAAACGCATATTGTGACGATCCATGGTGTGCGTGTGTGTGTGTGTGTGTGTGTGTGTGTGCGTCTGTTCAGGTATTTCAACTCGGCAGCCAAGCACGTTTCTGCGCTGAAGCTTTGCCAGTAGGCCCTCCAGCCAAGTGCCACCCAAGAACCACGGTTCCAATTCCCAAGCATGTCTGGGCCTCGCGTACGAGCACGTGAAAGTCCTGGCGGGAAAGTTGCCAACTTGGGAACCAGAAAAACCGGTGGAGGGGAGCTGAAATTTCAACGGGATATTCCTTGTCCAAATACTACACAGTTGCACTGTTAACTTCCTGAACTTCGAGGACCAGCATGTCACAAATCCTAAGACTGCTAGGATTTCAAGCGATCTTGTCACAGCACGAAATACTGCAAAAACGCATGATCGCACAGGCTTGCCCGGTGCGCGTCGCCAACGATTGTATACCTCGTCAATAAACAAAAATAGGACTCCATCAACAACCACTTTCACGCGTGGTACTTCCACAAAATATCCAGAGATGTGGTGCAGAACGTATTAATATTTTATGCAACAAAAAAACGCAATCAAGCAGAGACAGACAGAGACAGGGAGCATAGATATTATCGAACGATCGTATAATTTGAATAACTGGAAAATATTTGAAAAAAAAAAAAATACGGCTTACAAATCATAAATCAGCATAGAAATTAAGCGAAGAAGCCGGGCCAAGCACCTCGCGCCATTGTATGGCGCAGAGCGGAACGTTTCGGACTGTGTAGCTAACGAAAGGCAAGAAAAATCCAAATTTCCAGCCATGTCCTCAAAGAGACATCTCATCAGGAAGGACCAAATTTGATAAATTTTTGATAAATTATTTTTTGAAAAAAAAAAAATCTAAATTTCCAGATTTCCACCTTTAATAAATTCTCAAAGAAGCTCATCAGGAAAGACCGAATTCGATAATTTTTCTTAACAAAATACTTCACAAGGGCAAGGAAAAGCGAAATTTTCGGCTATCAGTATCAGTAACTCCTCCAAAACGATAAATTATCGTAATAAAAATGATTTGATAATTTTTGTGATAAACTATCTTATGTGGCGTTACCTGCTGGCTAAAAATCTCTTCGGATTCGGGTTGAAAATTTTTCTTCATTGGCAGATACGCAGTACTGCGCTTACACATATGCACAATGAATTCGAATTTTAACAAAATAAAAAATATGAAAAAAAAGAAACGAGAAAAACGTACTAGATGGATGAAAAAAAAGAAGGATGGAACGTAAAAATGATAAATTAACAGTGAAAAAAAGAGAGAAAAAGAGAGAAAGAAGAGGAATGAAATCGATTAGTTCGCAAAAGCAGCAGCAGTGTAAGATTCTGTTTCGAAAAAAAATAAAAATTTGAAAAAAAACTGAATGTAATGGAAGACTACGAGGGAGCGAGAGAGTACCATGCTCTGTGATGATAGTAACGACGATGCCGGATAGGGTAGAATTTTGAATAATTAACTGCTTTTCCAGGAAAAAATTGGCTGAATTTTCCTCATGCAAAATAAGCGAGGAAACATTCTAGAGAGCAAAAAAAAAAATAAAAAAAATTCATGGGAATGTGAAAATCTGGGGGAAAAAAGGCCTGGAACGTAAAAAAAGAGGAAAGTGTATGGAATTTCAGCGAGTTCTTTTTTGAAAAATATGTATGCATTTGCATTCATCAAAATATGCAATTTGTGTTTTGTAGGTAAAATTCCAAGAAAAAAAAAAAATGGACGAAAAGAAAAGGGATGTTTTTTTCAGAATCCGGAATCCATAAGATATTGCGCCATTTTTTCCACCGCTACACGTGCTTCTGCTCCAGCCGCATTTTCACCCTCATAACATGCAATTAGCACAGCTGCAAAAAAAACCCCAATAATGAAATCTGTTGAAAAAATTTCAACAAATTGATGCCCAGTGATGTTTAGGAGTATGTACGAAAATGATGTTTAGGAGTATGTACGAACTCTTCCGGTAAACAAACAAACAAACAAGTAAACAACGGAGAGAGGTAAACAAACAGCATTGTGGTGCGACAAAAGTTCACACCTTCCTCCTGAGCCATCCCCTATGAAAAGGGGAAGCATTCAAAAGTAGCCCGGACTACCGTAGGATGTACCAAAGAAAAGAACCCCATGAAATAATGTATGCTTCCGATGGGCACAGGAGAGCAGGTAACATGTCACTTTTTCTTTTTGTAAAATTTTGTTTAGAAAAATATGAAAAAAGTACAAAAAAACCTTTTTTGTAAATACGAAAAAACTTTTTCTAAAAACACGAAAAGCTTCCAATAGTTCTCGCCTTTCAGAGTTTTTTGGAAGCCAAATGATGGCAGCTTGTCAGAATGAACTAAACGTAAACAAACTGCTGTCCCCTTGCGTAACAACAATGCTTTAGCACTAGCATAGGTGGATCCGCGGGAGCGGGGAGGGGGGGAGGAGAGGAAAGGGGAGGAAGGCGAAGGGTCTTTCTTCCCCTCTCCCCACCCCCTCCTGCCCAGTGGTACAGGTACCAGCGCTGCGAAAGCCCGGGTCTGTTCATAAATAAAACTAAACTCTAAGTAGCAGTATTACAACTCTATTCCTAGTTTTTGCATAATTCCACAGTGAGATGGGGCTCTCCCTCAGCCCCA